AGGGATCGTAGGATTGACTTAAAATCTAGGTAAGATTTATGTTCACTCAAAATCCTTTTACCTCAAATCAAAAATTGACTTTTCCTAAGTGTTTATGTGAAAACATTTTCCTTTTAAAATTTGTTTTGCTGTTTTTTATATTTGCTATGTGACTCATGAATTGAATTTGTATTACTTGTGATATTTTGAAGATGAAAATTTGGAATTTGAGATTGATACATGTACTGTGCATATATAAACGTGGGATATATTAGTGTGCTGTGTATATATGTATTTGGTATGTATAATACATGACTATATTATAATACTTATATGCATATGAATATTATACTGTAGATAAATTCACAAGCTGTGCATCCTATAGTATGCGTGTGCAGATACGTATGTATGTTTAATTGGTGCACTGTATGTATATACGTGCATATTATGTTCTGTAGTGAGAATAGTAGTAGGGTATCAAATAATGTTGTGTATAGAAACATATGTGTGGCGTGTAATCATGAAATGCTGAGTATGGTGTATGGTATAACACTACTGGAAATTAAGAAATTTCCGACCACCTGAAAGTGATCTTAAATCAAGTCAAAAGTCTTGTCCGACCACTTTTGGTATCAACTTGATTTAAGATCACTTTCAGGTGGTCGAAAATTGCATAATTTCCACTAGTGTAATGAGTTATTCGGTTATAAAGGTTATATGTATAGGTACAATACCGAATGAGTTACTTTGGTAAAAAAGGCTTTTAATTTAAGAGGTGAACCTTTTGAGGTTATAGATATATATATTTTGTCAATGAAAAATGGTGCCATCTGGTATTTTTGTGGAGTGAGCAGTTGGAATATACTGACTCACTAGGGACTCTGTTTTGTGGAGTGAGCAGTTGGAATATACTGACTCACTAGGGAGCCTGAAAGATCTCTGTTTTGTGAAGTGAGCAGTTGAAATATACTGACTCGCTAGGGGGTTTATATTAACTTCCCTGTTATTTTGAAGAGTGAGCAGTGACGTGGAGTGAGCAGTGACGTAAAAGCTGACTCACTAGGGAACTGAGAAAACTCTCTGTTTATGAAAATCTATTTTTGAGAATTTGAAATCCTCCATTTGGTACCCATTTCTTCTTGGCAATTTATAAATATCAAGTGTAGTTGATCTGAGAAATTCAAATGTACTATCGGAAGATGTTCTCTTGGAAAGAGATAATTTGAGAGGTAGGAATTCTCTCTTTGGTAATATATTTTGAGATCATTTTGAGAGATTGAAATTATCTCTTTGGTTATTATTTTGAGAGTTTGGAAACTTTATTTAGTTATTATTGGAAATTATTTTGGTGATTATATTATGGTTTAAAGAAATTTTGAGTAATGAGGATGTTATGAAATATTTTGAGGATGTGGTTATATTGAAATGTTGAGGTAATTGTTATGTGATGAATCTTCAGGAAAGAATAATTGTGGAATGATTTTGGATTAGAGATAGGCAATGCCTTAGTCGATTTGCTAGAAGTTGTTATGCATATTTTTGTACTTGAACTTGAATGTGTGGTTTCCTCAATATATATATTTTAAATGGTTAAAGTTAAAGATTATTGGCCTTGTTGAGAAGGTAAAATGTTTAAGGGGTATATTATGTGCAATTACATGCTCCTATGTGTTATGTGCTATGTGCAAATGTTTTACGGGGTGGAGTAAGTCTTACCCGCTGTTGTATGCTGAGTTTGTCCCCTCTTTAGTTATTTTGCAGGTCTTGTTGCATGAGTATCTGGAGCATGAGAGCGATTCACCATCCTAATTTTAAGTTTAGAAGGTTTATATTATTTTAGAAAAATTTAGAAGTTAATTTTTAGACAATTGTATTTAATGCTTTATAATATAATTAATTTTGGGTTGTTTTTAGTAGTATCGATTTTAGCTTGTGCGATTAGCTACGTGGTTATGAATGCCTTCGTTTTGTTTTTAGCTTCCGCAATTTAAACAATATGTTGTAATTAAATAAAAGGAAAAAAATTAAAATTTCCTCAGATTCTAGTTTTGAAAAATGGGGGTGTTACACTACACAAGCTTTTATAGGAGATGGAGTACTTAATAGCATTCATGATGGCATTCATAACCACGTAGGTGTTACCTGAAACAACAACCATTATTAGAGATTTAATTCATAATTTAAAATTAGAATTAATACAAAATTAATTCCGTAACAACAGTCCAGAATAAATCTGATAGACCAAACTAACGATTGGTTCACCGAGCTCAACTCAAAAGTGGCTATTGTGTTGGAAAAATGATACCGAAAGTTGCCAACATACACGAGGTCAATCCTGAATGGCTTATCAAGCTCAGTTTGGAATTTTATTTGCCCCCACCCCCCTGCAAGAGAGAACCTCTATGCTATACAATTCAATAAGCCTATAAAAGACCCTTATATAAATAGTTGTGCAAATCCACTTCCCAAACCAATGTGGGACAAAAGCTAATCTTTTTCCCTTCATTTTTCCAACTCAATGGGTCTACTTTGAGAATCAAGATCTCATTCACCCATTTTTCGTTTTGAGCATACAATATATCAATCTCTTCGTCTCACTATGAAGAATCGGAATTCACTTTTACCCGACTCATATCGGAAATGGACCCCACTAATAATTGTACCACAAAATAACCGGCTTAAAATGCCATTTTAATGCTATTTTTCCAACATGACTCAATCCCTTTACTCCCAAGTCCTAGCATAGTGACTGAAAGGCGCTATTTTTGGCAAAAATAGATTTGTTATAATCGTTAAGAATATTTGGATCGATATACAAATATAAATTATAACAACGAATATTATGTAGTGCAGTTGATGAAATGAATTGTATTTTTGATGTTATCATTGCTTGAATTCGAGCAAATAATTACCCAATTATCTGTGCAGTGTGCGTGCAATGCACATATAAAAATTTTTATTATATATTTATATAATAAAATTAAGGAAAAGGGTCAAATTGGCCCCATAAGTCGACCGGATAGTGAAATTGGGTCCATTAACTAAAAATAAGCTTCACTCAGATCTCCTAAACTTGTAAAATTGTTCAATTAAATCCAAAGTGACTTGTTTAGCGGGTTAAATCTTCACATATTTGACACGTGTCGTTTTTCTAAAAAAAAAATAATATTTCACATATTTCCTCGTAAATTAAAAGAAATAAAAACACCTTTTAGAATAATAATTTTAGAGAATGAAGCTTGCTTAGCAATCATTATTACATGGACCATGGTCCACACAATTGTGTGGACCATAAATAAAAAGTACATTTTTAATATATTAAGGGTACATTATTTATGTACGTAAGGTATATTTTTTGAAATTACATTTTTAATATACTAAGGGTACATTTTTTTTTATTCAGTATAAAAATAATGTATCTTCAGTACAAAAATAATATACTTTTCATATATTAAAAATGTTCCTGATATTCATGATCCACACAATTATGTGGATCATGGTCTAGTAATTTGCCCTTGCTTACTAACTAGGCCAAAACATCACAATTTCAAATGCCCTTAAATTAATTAGCCCAACCTAATAATTAGATGAATTAGACTCATCAATTGGTACCTCGACTAACCAAATAATGGCAAATTATATCGTGCACCGTGATGCATAATCTATTATGCACCGAGCTTCAAAATGATGTCGTTTTGTTTAATGAAAAAAAACGACACCCTTTTTGCGTCGTTTCGCTAAAAGTAACTCTATTATTCAGTTTCATTTTGTATACACTGCAATGTCAATTCAATTAAATTCATAAAAAAAGAAAAAACAAAGACAAAAAATACAGTTAAAATGTCAATAATATAATACTACCAACAAGATGTGCAGTCCTTTCAAAAAAAAAAAAAAAAAGATGTGCAGTTGCAACTTACACGTTTTCATGACAATTCATTTTCGGTAAGAAATAGGGGAAAATCAACATTTTGGTTCCTCAATTGTCAATTTAGTTCCTAATTTTCAATTTCAACCAATTCGATTATATTATAGAATTGTTTAAAATTTTGTCAATTAAACCATTTCAGGACCAAATTGATGGAATTTTAAAAATGTAAAAATCACCATTCTGGTTCCTGAAAGGGTTTAGTTGACAAAATTTTAAACAATTCAAGGATCAAATTAGTTGAAATTAAAAACTAGCTATAGAGACTACATTGACAGCTGAGAAACAATTGATGCCGGGACCAAAATGGTGATTAACTCCAAGAAATATTTCCTTTTGGGAGGAAACTGAAGATGGATGCATTATATTCAAAAGCTGACTCAATCATACCAATAATGCTATTGCATGATGAAAAAGAAATATTCTCTTTTTCCCTACTTTTTATTTTTATTTTCCTTTCAAGAAACAAACAACACATTCTGTTCATGAAATATATAATAAGTAAAAAAATTTCTATATGGTCTTCTAATTCTTTGTTTGGATGCTTTAGTATTATGCGTAACGTCTTGTGTAACACCAAAGGTTTAATTCTATTGAAAGATAGATTTTTCCGTTTGAAATGATAACAACGATGGCATCAGATCACAAGGTAGTTAGCAATTCTTATATGATCTTTTAATCATTATAGAATACACTTTTAATTTTATGAAAAAAAAAAAGTTTTGGGCCCTGTTTTGGTAAATGGTTGTTAGCTGTTAGCTGATTGGATTAATTAGAGGGTATAACTAGTTGATAATATTAGCTGATTGTAGAAAGATGTTTGATAAATTAGTTATTAGCTGATAGTTGTTAGGTATAATTTCTTTCGTAAATTATGCCGTGGAAACGTGCTCACCATGCTTGGTGAACACGCTTCCAAACGACGTCGTTTTTGGCGTCGTTTTTAAAAAAAAAAAAAAAAAAAAAACATTGTTCTATTAACGGCGTTAGGAAGGCAGTTATGATCAGACAACTCTTTGCGTTTGATTCTTTCCTATTCGCAAATCTCTGAAGGCAATTGTGATCCGACATTCGCGATTCTTTCCTATTCGCGATGGAGGAGACGACGGTTCGAGGAGAAGATTCAACCGATATGATTTCTGCGATTCCAGGTTGCGTTCGATTTTATGCGTTTGATTTTGTTTGATTTATGAGATCATGGATTGTTGAAGATTTAGTTATTTTTATTGGTATTTGTTCAGTATCTATGCAGTTTGAATGTTCATAATGGCCGTAAATGTGTATTAGTTCCATGTTTCTGTTATGAATTTTACATAATGCAATTATGTATTTTCTGTTACAGAGTTATGAATTTTGATACTCTGTTCATGCATGTGATATGAATATTCATAATGTAATAGTACTATGTCCATAACATATTAACTGGTATGTTACACTGCTTGCATATACTCAGTGAATGAAGATTGCGTTGGTGATTCAATAAGCAATGATCAAGCAGAGTTAAACATTGACATTGATGGCTCGTCTTCAAGTCCAGGTTCTTTTTATTAGTTGGTGTATCATGAATGTTGTTTCTGGTAGGTGTAGGTACTGATTCATGGTGATTATATGCAAATTGAATGTTGTGATTGGTATTAATAATTTGTTCACGTTATGAATTTACAGTTTTGAGGTTATGAATTTTCCGTTATGTTATTATGAATTTTCTATATGAGATTATGAATTTTCCATATGAGGTTATGAATTTTATGTTATGAGTTTATGCATTTCATGCCATGAGTATCTATGCAACTTTGAATGCTCATAATGTCACAAATGTTATTGATACCCGGTCTTTGTTATGAACTTTCTTATATGATATGAATTTTATTCTTTGTGATTATGAATGTTCTCACATGAGATTATGAATTCTATAGTGTAGCATATTATATTCATTATAGGTGAAATCCACATTCATATTTTAGTAGTTGGTATAGGTGTGGTTATATTTTTGTTGCAATTGCAGTTGATGAAGACTTGGTGGGTGTTGTAGTAAGAAATGTTGACGAAGCTTTTGAGTTATATAATGGATATGCATACAGAGTTGGTTTTAGTGTGAGGAAAGGCCAACAACGTTATAAGGCATCTACTAAGTCAATTCAGATGAAGAGGTTCTTCTGTGCTAAGGCTGGGTATAAGCAGAAACCAAACAGTGGTGTTAAGCTTTATTCAAAGATTGATATGAGGACTGGATGTGGTGCATTTGTTCAATTTGATGTGGGGGGTGATGGGATGTGGACAGTTACAAAACACTTGAAAGAGCACAATCACGAGTTATGTTCATTTGGCAAGAGTCATCTGCTTCGGTCGCATAGAAGAGTGGGAAACAATCAGCTTGAATATTTAAAAGACATGAAGAGTAGTGGTGTTGCATTGGCAGATGGTATGAGGTTTTTGAAACATCAGTCAGGGGGTTCTCCATTGGTTGGCTTTACCAACCGCGATGCTTACAATTCGATGGCTTCTGTGAGTTTGAAGTGTTTGGATGGATCTGATTCCAATTCTTTGATTGAGATATTCAGGAGGAGGCAATCTAATGAGGCTGATTTCTTTTTTGATTTCGAAGTTGATTTGGATGGAAGATTGTGTAGTTTTTTTTGGAGGGATGGTCAAATGAGAAGGGATTATGAGGTGTTTGGTGATCTGTTAGTGCATGATACAACATACCGCACTAACAAATATGATATGATTTGTGGTCCTTTTGTAGGGATGAACCATCATTGCATGAATGTAATGTTTGGTTGTGGTTTTTTGATGAATGAGAGGATAGAGTCATTTGCGTGGTTGTTTAGAGTGTTTTTAAGATCCATGGATGACAAGTGTCCACAGACTATCATGACGGATCAATGTTCAGCTATGGCTGCTGGCATTTCCATGGTGTTTCCTACATCACGCCACCGTCTTTGCATATGGCATATTGGTGAGAATTCGAAGAAGCATATCAAGGCATTGAGGAATCATAAGGATTTTCTGGATATGTTCAATTGTGTGTTGAAATACACCGAGACTGAAGCTGAATTTGAGGTTTACTGGACAAGGTATGTTATTATGAATTTACATTATATAATTCTGAATTTTCTGTTATGTCATTATGGATTTTCTGTTATGTCATTATGTATTTTCTGTTATATGATTTATGAATTTTTTAATATGAGATTATGAATTCACAGTTATACAATTCTGGATTTTATGTTATGTCATTATGTATTTTCTGTTATGTCATTATGTATTTTGTGTTATATGATTATGAACTTTGTAATATGAGATAATGAATTCACAGTATACAATTATGTATTTTCTGTTATGTCATTATGTATTTTCTGTTATGTCATTATGTATTTTGTGTTATATGATTATGAACTTTGTAATATGAGATAATGAATTCACAGTATACAATTATGTATTTTTTATTATGTCATTATGTATTTTCTGTTATGTCATTATGTATTGATGGAAAATATATTCATTATTTCAGTAGAGGGGGGATGGGGAGTGCCGAATAAATCCAGCCATGCTCTACCGAAAAGAATATATTGTCCATCAAAATAACAGTTACACATAATTGATAATATAGTAACATAAAATTCATAATATCACAAAGAAAATTCATAATATCATAACAGAAAATTCATAACCTTAGAACAGAAAGTTCATAACTACAATACAGAACAGAAAATTCACAACTCACATTGTAGAATTCATAATCTCATATGAGAAAATCCATAATTCCATATTGTCCATCAATAACAGTCACATATAATTCATAGTATAGTAACATGCAATTCATAATATCCCACAAAGAAAATTCATAACCTCAGAACAGAAAATTCATAACCCCAGAACAGAAAGTTCATAACTGCAACACAGAAAATTCATAACTACAGAACATAAAATTCACAACTCACAATACAGAATTCATACTCTCCTACGAGAAAATTCATAATCTCTAACAGAAAATACATAACCACATATAAGAAAGTTCATAACAGCAAAACCGTAATTTCATAGGCACAATAGAAAATTCATAATCTCACACAGAAAATACATATTTGCATGACATAAAATACATATTTGCATGACATAAAATACATATTTGCATGACATAAAATACATAAGTGAATAAACGTTATGGACATTCAAAGCTTGCATAGAAAGTGAATAAACAGCAGTAAAAACCATATACGAATCAATTCATAATGGTTAATCTACACATATATAATGCTACAGATATACATTCATAAGCTCATAACATTACATTCAAAACCCCATTTTAAAATTTCAAAATATGTACACGGAATACAAAAACCCTAAATCATAAACACACCATATACAAAATACCTGTAAGACAAGTGAATCAACGTTGAGAATGAGCGATGGAGAGGCTGTCTCCTTTGATAGCTATGGGAGAACGCGAAGTTTTGTTCGAGAGATGCGAGAATGAGAAATGCGAGAACGAGAAATGCGAGAGCAGAGAGGAATGGCTGTGGAGCAGAGTGTTTGAGAGTGATCGAAGGAAATGGCTGTGGAAGACGAAGTGAGAGAAGAGAGCTCGAGAGTGGAGTTCAGAGAGCAGAGTGATGGACGTTGCGTGGAGAGGAAGTGAAATGGTGTAGTGGGAACTACAAACGCTATTGGCGCGTTTAATTTAAAAAAAAAAAATATGAGTGGTGGGAGTTAACGGTGCCACTTACGGGCACCGTTAGTCCCACTCACTCAAAACGGCGTCGTATGGAACCGTGTTCACCAACCATGGTGAACACGGTTCCATGGCATAACACCTGATTTCTTTTCTCAAAAAACTAATTGAAAAAGTTGTTTTGAGCAGCTTTTTGAATTTTAGCATTTTGGAGTTGATTTTTTAACCAAAACAAACAATTAATATTTGTCAAATAAGTCAAAATTAGGTGATAGGCTAATATTTTACCAAACAATTTTAATTTTTTTTTTTTAATTATCTTTTCATTTTTTAATTTTAAATTTCAACCTATTAAAACGTATATACGTATAGTACCACATCAGGGTAAGTTTGTGAGTGATAAACGATGTAGGGACATTTAGCGTTGTCCATACTTGTCCTTGGTGTTAACACTGGTAGAAGAAACAAAATTGCATATATTTGACTACATTGAGGTGTCATTTTGTAATTTGATGTATTGGTTGATTAAACTAAGGTATAAATGGCCCAATCGAAGTATAGACAATCGTTATACCATGGACCAGGTCCATAGTGACACTGGTCCTAAATGACGTAGTTTTAAATTTTAATTTTAATGATGATTGTTTATTGTTCAAATATGATAAACGAGAAACTACAGAATCTGTTAAAACTTAAATATTAAAACGACGTATTTTTTATCCGGGTCCAGAATGCTATGTGGACCTGGTCCACGATATAAATGTAAAGTATAGAACTTGTGAATTAATTTCAACAGGTAATATAGCCGAGTTCTACTACATAGACTCCCAAATTGTACTCCCTCATTTATACTCCATGAGGTGGCAAATCAGGATTGGTTATTTTCATTATGTGGGTCCACAGAAAAATGTCTATATCAAGAGCATGTGAGAGGGAGTACAAGTTGGGAGTTTAAAATGGGAGTACACCAAGTATTTTCCGAAAATAACCAATCTTAATTTGCCACCTCAAGAAATATAAATGAGGAAGTAGAATTTTGGGAGTCTATGTAGTAGAACTCTTGTTTAGTCAAGGAGTTTCATGATCTAACAATTAACTAATCATAACGCGATATTACCGAATGGCAAACAAAACAAGGAATATTGTTTTTGAATAACTATTTTTTATAAATATATGTGTTACGTTCTTTATGAGTAATATTATACATATTTGAACAAATTTTATTTGACACAAGCGTAACGTGTTTTATTATCGATCTGATTGTTCATGATTTGACACTTAACTAATTACAAAGTAATATTGTCCAATACTCACAAAATAAGGGCATATTCTTTATTCTTTATGGAAATTAAAGTATATATCTCCAAATACATGTACATGTGACCATGAATGACGACTGTACTCTAGCTTCAAAGAAAATAGAACGCCTCCACCCCCCCCCCCCCCGAAAAAAAAAAAAAAAATTTAAAAGGCTAAAGTTGTTCTAGGTGTGCACCATATATACTGATACATATTCTCTCAAATTTTTCTTTTTTACTCTTTTCTCTTCTCAATAACATATTAGAGTTAATACCCAAAACCGTCCTCGACTATGGTGGTTTTTTTCGATTTCGTCCTAAATGACTTTTGTGACCCAATGTAGTCTCAGAATTGTGTGTTTTTGCTCAGTTTAGTCCTCCGTTTACATTTCCATCCATTTGCTGTTAAATTCAAAGATATTTTTGTAATTGCAATAATCCTTCCTTCAAGAGAGAATGAAAAAGCTTCAAAACTCCATGGCCAATGTCCCCTCGCCGCTCAGTACAACAATCCAAAAACCCATGAAACACTGAGGAGGGAGTTAGCGAGAGGGTAAATAGCCACAGCCATTTCTGGCTAAGCAAAAGCTTTTGGCTTCTTCCCCCTCCTAGGGTTTATAATTTTTTTTTTTTGATTTTTTAGGCTAATATTCTGCAACTAATTCTTAACTCTATTTGATATCCGAACAAAAACTCAATTTACTCATATTATGAAGGTTTCTCTCATCCGATTTTATCTACCCTTAGGCGTTTTATGAAATTGAGAAGTACACAGATGGATATCTTAGATGCAAAATGTTGGGCTGCCAAATTGTTTCTGAACATTGTTGGCCATAGACTGATTTATGATGAAAGGATTATGGTCAAGATTGTTGAATTTTTTAATGTAAATCTGTCAAACGTAAGGAAAGCTATCTGTGGTTCACATGCAAACAATGGACGGTTCAATATTTCACTCACAATTCTTTATGCAAATCCTCATAAACATTGGCCATGGAGTTTTGAAGTTTTTTCCTTTTCTCTTAAAGGATGGATTACTTCAATTACAAAAATATCCTTGGATTTAACAATAAATGGATGAAAATGTAAACGGAGGACTAAACTGAGCAAAAACACACAAGTCTGGGACTATATTGTGTCACAAAAGTCATTTAGGACGAAATCGAGAAAAGTCACCATAGTCGAGGACTATTTTGGGTATTAACTCTAACATATTTGTATTCAATGCATATTGAAGTAAATTGCATTGGATATATGGATAAGGATTCCCTATACATACGTATATTATAATATATGTTTTATTTATTTATTTATTTATTTTTGGATTTGAGAGGTTAAATATTTTTTTTCATTTGACTATACGATGTCTACCATGATGCTTTGGTTAATTACAATAGTATCGTGTCCAAGTTTCATATTGATAAAATTAGAGAAAAGCACAATTTTGTCACAAAATGACATTTAAAGTGATCATTTTGAAGTATAATTTTGAGTGGAGGTCCACTACTACTCTTGATTTGGTTAAGTCAAAGTGGATTCATATTATCCTAGTTGAGATGATGAATTTGATATATAATACGCACAAAATGAATAATGGAATAGTTGGAAAAAATGAAGTTTGAGAAAAAATTTAAGTACCCTTTGTCTCGTATTGGAAATGTGAGTTTATACTAATATAAATACAATTCAACTTTTTAAGGAATTTGAATTGTATATCACAGAAATTTTTATTTCTCGCGCATGCAAGGCCCTGTCTTTATGTAATTCACAATTTTAAAAAGTAATTAATTTTTACATCCATTTGATAAACTTTCAAGTTTTACAACGTGGCAAGATCAAGTATCATCCTAATGTAATTTATATTTGTCAAGAATAAGTATCTCAAAATAATCATCACCCTCATATTGTATGTAACCCTTGATCACAAATATGATGATCTTATACTTCTCAATGATACCATTCGATTTCATGTTCCGTATAAATACCAACTCAAATTATGTTGAAAATTGAAAGGCAAATCAAGTTGTTTCTTACTTCCTAAAGGTAGTGTAAGAAGTATGAGCCGTTGGTTTCTTTTGTATGAATTGTTTCCTAATGTATGAATATTCATGCATGCATTTAAGTGTTAGTTTTCTTCACAATATTTCAATGATAGTTTCTCTAAAAAAAAATATTTCAATGATAGTGAATGTACTTTCGTTATAAATTTATTTCACACACTATATTGATTGAATCACTATAAATAGTTACACTATATTTTGGCACATTAGAAGAAGACACACGTGGAGGCCCCGGTCGCAAAAAGGATATTAGTCGGCCCGGAGGCCAATGGGACAGAGGGCATCCACCGTAGTCGTTACTGATACACATTATTTTTAGTGTTATTTTTAATAATTTTTTTATAGTTAATTTGAAATAATTAATTAATTTTATATTTATTTTTATTTATTATTGTTATTATTAGTAGCTTTGAGAGTTATTCAATTTTAGGTTGTTTTAATTATTAAATTTGTCTATTATTTGAATTCTGTCAGTTTAATAATTCATTGATCCTAATTTAATTATAATATTAATAACTTTAGTAGTACATGTTCAATAGGAGTTTAATAAATGTAGATTAGTTATATATGGTTTCTAATAAGTTTATTATTATTATTATTATTATTATTATTATTATTATTATTATTATTATTATTATTATTGTTGTTGTTGTTGTTGTTGTTGTTGTTGTTGTTGTTGTTGTTATTATATTATTATTATGTTAGGTTAGTAGCTTAGCCGATCTCTATTCTCAAATAAGAGTCCGTCAACAAAGCAGTCGGTGGAGAGAAATAGACGGATCGCAGATCGGCGCGGACTAACCTATTCAATTGGGAATTCCGATTGATCAGCCGGAGCTCAGAGAAACAGTTTGAAGCTAAACAGTATAAAAAGAAATGCAATAATAGAGAAGAGGATCATCAATTTAACTCCGGACCAATTCCGGAGGCGGAAACTATTTCTGATGGTGAATTAATTCCGATCGGCAGCCTCAACTTCTATTCGGCGACAACAATTCATCTGGACAGTAAACTGGTTGGTAACATCGTTAATTTTTAGTAGCCAACATCGCTATTCTGGTCTTTTCTTTTGTCCTTAATTTGAGCTGCAATCTTGTAATTTGTAATCACCATTCCAATTCATTCTGAAAGTTTGAAATGCTAATGACTATGTTTAGTACCTAAAGTTTGGATTATCGCATACTTAATCAAGCAATTTGGCATAAGATTTCAATTTGCTTTGTGTTTCTACTTTCTAGGTTACTATCTAGCTTTTCAATATTTAATTTGCCTTGTGTTTTATGACAGTACAAGACTCTAATTGTGAAGCTTTTCTTTAGAATGTGCTGCTAGTTTCCTTTTGCTAAGAACATGATACAAGAGTTTTAATGTTATCAATTTAATTTAATTATGATTTATATCAATTTAATTATGATTTATCTTACAGCTTTGTGTCGAGATTAATTGAGTTCAATTTGGCCAATTTAATTCTTATTAAGTCCACTTGAGGGAGTTATAGAATATACACCATGCCTTTTAATTTTAAGTTCGGTCTTGTTACCTATTTATTTTCATTTAGTTTAATCCATTATGATTGTTAATTTG